GATGGCAATGCAGATATCCAGGGAGGGAATTCAGCAAATGGGCAGCAAAGAGCAATTATGTATGAAGCACTGTGCAACTTGCAAGTCCTGTGGATGCAAGCACATCATTTTCACATACTTTACCTACTTTTTATTTCACACATTACTTAAAAAAAAACCCTTTATATTTCAGAAAATATGGACATCAGATTTAAGTTATGTAAATGGAAAGTGCGTGAGATCACCTCATTTTCAGTTTTCTTGTTTCCATGTGAAATGTAAATGTCTGAAGAGGATATTGCTTAAGCCATAAAACAAATTGACACCATAATTTATTAATACTGAAGACACACTTCATTGCGGTTAAACACTATAAAGAGCTGAGAATAGCATAGTTTCTCAGAATGTATTGCTAATACGTCAAGGGAAAGACTTCCTTGATGCAATCTCAGCATGTGTGAAGATCCTCTTTACAGACACGAAGACACGATGACCACAATTTTGCCTGTCACATAGACTGCATTAGTATTGTGAAGCCTCTCAGTTAGCCTTAAAGATGGATGGCCCACCTCTGGCGTGGGAGCTCATGAATGTGCAGAAGGTCAGTGGGCCTGTACGTGACAGCCTGCCTGAGGACCCAGCGTGACACAGCTGCCTAGTCCCTTGCTCAGTAGCCCAAAGGCACAGAGGGGTTCCAAATGTACTGCGATATGCCAGGGGAGGCCAAAGCAAGGCTTGAGGGCTGCATATGGCTCTGTTTTGTGGCTAATGGCTCACCTGTGGGTACCTGCTTGCCACTTGCTGCCTGCAGCCACTGCCCATGGGCACCCACTTGCAGCTCTCAAACACTGTATGTGGCTCTTCCATTGAGCACGTCTGGCCACCCCACAATATGCACTGGAGTTATGCTTAGGACTTGTTGCACACTTACCCTTCTAATCCAAGGAGCACAGCTTTTCAGCCACACTGGGTCTATAGGGATGCACACATATGCACACACACACACGAACTCATGTTCGTTCACATACAACTAACAACATGCAACTCACACACAGCACACTCATCTACTTTGATCAGGACAACGCAGTGCTCTTCCCAGAGATCTCAGTTCTCAAACCACCCAGCCATCCTGGCTCTAAATCCTCCCTAATGCACTGTTTTGCTATAATCTTGATATCCCACACTGCTACTTGGGTATTTTTTCAAGAAAAAATTGGTGTGGGAGGGGGTTAAAGTAACAGTTTCCATAGTTCCTGACACAGAAGCTGTACTCTTACAGCTGGAACTATAGCTTTTTCCTAATGTGGAATGGATGTGTTTTCCCTTTTCTATGGGGACTTGGTGGTTCCAGAGGGCCATCTACAGCCCTCCCCAGTATACACCTTCCTTTTTCACTTCAATCCCAACACTCAGGATGGCTGACCACAGGCGTCCTTCCAGATGATGCTTCTGTTGCGCAGTCATCCTGCCTCATTCACAGAATTTTCAGGAGCGGGTGGAATCCAAACAAAGCTGTCTTGAATATGGCTGCCTCCTGGGTTTTCCCACCACTTCTTCCAGTGTTTTTCCTTATCAGGGGAAAAATCTGTTGCAAAGTAAAAGGCAAAGTAATTGCACAATGCCTCTTTGATTGGCAGCACTAGAAGCCTTCCATCAAGAACCAAACTAAAATTTAAAAAATATAAAAAAGATCATACAGATTTCAAAACCAGTAAAAACAAAGATGCCTACCAGAGGGTTTTTTTTTTTTAACAGTCTTACCCCAACCAATTGAATGAAGGAAGGAAGTTCAGCATCGCCACGGAAAGGGATCTCCAGTAACCAGACCAATTTAGGGAACAATCCTGTAGAAAAATTTAGGGAGGAATCCTGTAGAAAAAAGAATAATAGAATAGTAGAGTTGGAAGGGGCCAGAAGGCCATCTGGTCCAGTCCTCTGCTATTGTAGGAAACTAAGTTACACCATCCCTCTCAGATGACTGTCCAGATGCTTTTTGAATGTCCCTAGTGAGGGAGAGACCACAACTTCCCCAACTTCTCTGTTGTCCTGCTCTGACAGTGAGGAAATTCTTCCTGGTTTCTAGTCCAAATCTGGTTTCTTTTACCTAAGACTGTTATTCCATGTCCTGCACTCTAGAATGAACAAGAAGAGATCTTGGCCTTCCTCTCTGTGACAGCCTTTCAGAGTGTATTGTAGAGTGCCATCATATCCCCCCGCCCCCCAAGTCTTAATGCTGAACATACCTAGGGCTTTGCCTCCAGGCCCTGAATTATCTTTGTTGCCCTCCTTCGTTCCAGCCTTTCTGCATTTTTTTAAAACTCAGGTGCCCAGAAATGGACATGGTACTCCAGGTGAGACCTCCAGCTCCCAGCATGCCCCAGCCAGATGAACTTAAACAGCAAGCAATCTTCAGGGGAATGAAGTTGGCTTGGGCTCAAGCCCTTTTGGGGTTTTCAAGCAATCACCAGCATTTTGAACAGACTGGTACTCAGGGGTGAATGCCACCCCTAAAACTGTGAGATTTGGGCTGCAAATGCACAATCGATAGAGGAGCTTACCTTCATGTGAACATGCTTATGAACAGACTGCTCAGATGCTTGTGTGATCAGACCAGTCTTGATTCCTGAAGTGAATAATTCAGTCACATTTCAGAAAGAGAAGGCCACCATATTGGACTGATGGGAGTGGTAAATAAGACAGTGGAGAACAAAGCAGTCCATAGCAGAGCCACTGCTTTGAATTACATGATAGCAGTGCCATCAGGTGAGGTGGCAAAATCCATGATACTGTTCTAAGAGTTCATAGTTCAGGCTGATGATCAAGTGTGGTCACCTGTACTTCCCGCTTGCCGCTGTGCACTTGCACCCCATTTAGGATGGCTCCACGGAATTTCTAAACTCATTTCCAACTTAGCCTTTTCAACCATGAACTTGACTTGGTTGCTGAGCCAACTTAGTCAGCCTTATCTACCTCACAGGGTTATTGTGACGATAAAATGAGATGCTAGGGGGTACACAAACATTGGTTTAAGGGTACATTTCTTTATTACCTTTCTGAAGCCGACCTAACCAGTTTATAAAGATATCAAAAAATATAAACTTTAAACAAAAATAACAAGGAATTAAAACTATCTTAAAAAACCATAACAACTTTTAAAAACTAAGTTAAAATGCATTTTGACCTTTTTTCTAGCACAGAGTGTGTAGAGAAAGTATAAGATGAAGGGGCAGATCATGCAAACTTGACGGTGCTCACTTTCTGAAAGCTTGTAAACTGCCTGGAACAACCTCTGATGAAGGAATCATATAAACATTATTTATAAATAAAACAGTGTTTCTTCAGAACCTTTTTTTATCAGTAGCTGGATACTTCTAGACAAAGCCATTATTGCGCAATCGCCCAGCTTCCTTCACAGAATTTTACCGGGTATCAACATCATCTTAATTTGTAGACTTTTGGCAGAATCACTGCACAGAGCTCCTAACGGCCCTCCTCCATCTGGAAGCAACACCAGGAGAGCGTTAGTGGGTGAAACTTTTTCTGCCAGAGAGGTACATGATAGGAAAAGCAAAGCCCCCACAGCTAACTTTCTGCGTCAGACTAGAGTATTATTAAAGGCTCTGGGGTAAGCAACAGGGCAAGCCGAATTCTTTTCATTCTTGCTGAAAAGGAAAAAAAAAGGTCCGTTGGATTTAATGTTGAACTAGAAAAGTGGCAAAAACTATGGGAAAGAAACATTAAAGTAACTTTAGCAACTTCATATAAAGAAAACTTATATAAAATGTTCTATAGATGGTATTTGTCACCAAGTCAACTAGCTAAGATGTTTCCAAATATGTCAAATAGATGTTGGAAATGTAAACATAAAATGGGTACTTCTTATCATATGTGGTGGACTTGTGCCAACGCAAAAAAGTACTGGATTAAAATACATAGATGGATGGAGGAAATATTACAAAAACCCTTTGCTTTTAAACCCGAAGTTTTCTTGTTAGGCATTATACCGGAAGATGTTAACAGACAGGAAATCTATTTGATGTTGCATCTAATTACAGCGGCGAGGATTGCATTTGCTCAGTATTGGAAAAGTGAGGAGCTGCCCACCGATGGATTGATTCTAAGAAAGATCTTGGACTGTGCAGAAATGGATAGACTAACTTTATCGTTGAAGGAGAAAGAGGATACTGATTTCTATTGAACTTGGGACTCTTTTTATAATTGGCTGGAGAAACAGGACTTGGTGTAAATTTAGAGGTGTTTTTCAAACTGATAAACTAACTGGAATTTGATATTAGAATGTTAAAAAATATGTAGTAGGAGGCTGACCCAGTGAATCCAATGTTAATGTTTGTGATGTTTTATTTTTATTTTTTTTAGTCTTAGTTTAAAAATTTTAATATCTATAGCTATATCTATATATATGAAAAAAGGTCTGTTGAACTTCAGCGGTAATGCCATAATTATGATGAGTTTGGAAGAACCACAATTTTTCCGCAAATATTCTTTCTCTGCCAATTCAGTATAGCGAGATGCACTTTGACCTCTGCTTTCATTGGAACGACTATGTTCTCCCGGTGCCCTTTTCTTTTCACCCTCTGCACCTCTGTCCCCTGATATATTCGCTTCTGAGCACTAATTAAAACACCCTGAAATACTTTAGGATGCTGATGCTTCAGCTTCATTAGTCCTAAATGCCACTGTCTCTCACACCAACATCCTTCACTTGTCCACAATCTCCTCCGCAGCGTGCAATTCTTTCTATTGTGCAGCGTCCATCCACCCACCCACCCGCGCACAAGCGAGCATTCATTCTCACGTGCAAGCAGCCCTCGACCAAACACACTAACACAAAGCCCAGCAAATTCGTTCGTGCGTGTTGGCAGTCCGTTATCCCCTTAGATTCCCCCTCTTCTCTGGGCTATATGTGGCGTTTGGAAGCCTCTGACAATCTGCTCCAAATGTTTTCCATATTTGTTCAGCCTCTTCGATTCAAAGAGCAGAAACAAGTCAGCCACTAGCACAACGGGAACCTTCGGGTGGGGGGAATTAAGAAGGGAGGGGGGGCACCCAAAAACACGCCCATCGGCGAAAAAAAAGAACAAAGTAGTTCATCAACATGGGAAAAGAGAAGAAAGCCCAGACCAACCCGTCCCTTAATAACCAGGCAGGAAAGGCTGAAAAAGAGAAAAGCAACGATCCCGCCAAGGAGCAAGAAGCAGCGATGAAAAAGAAGCAAGCCAAAGGAGATCCCAAAGCGGCCCAGGAAGAGGAAGCTCACACGTGCTGTGGCTGCCGTTTCCCGTTGCTGGTTGCGTTGCTGCAGCTGGCTTTAGGCGCCTCTATAACAGCGCTGGGCTTCATTATGGCAGGCATCAGCGTTTCTCTGCTAGTCAGAGACACTCCATATTGGGCTGGCATAATTGTAAGCATACCAAGTCTGTTTCTTGCATTCGAAGCGCCTTTGCCAACAGGAATGCCAACTTGCATGCAATGTTGCACTTAAGACTAACCCACTGCATGCTCTACTACACTCTTATTATTCTTGAGCTAAGCTAACTTCTCTCTCTTAAAGAACAACAAGAACAACGAATGTCCTGCAGTGATTTTTAATGTCTGTTCTAAACATGTTCCAGGAAAACTGCTATTGAAATTACAAATCTATATTATTTTATATCACGCTGCATAGAAGTCTTATGGGGGGGATTTGCTATGTGCCTGATATATATATATATATATATATATATATATATATTTAGCATACCTATCCAGATTGCAAAGCAAGTATTTATGGCTTAAGGGTATTATATGTACTCTCACACATACACATCTGTTCAAGCTAAAGGACTGCAAATAAGATAAAGCAATGAGCGTTTTTTAAAAAGATGTTTCTAACCATGGGGGAAATGAATACATGCTTTTGTAGCTTCCACATGTGAGGAGTTAAACAACAAAGTTGTGATTTGTTCTCCACTCCATTAGTGTTGTCGTCGTCGTCTGGCCACAGCCCTAGTGGCTTGACTCTTGCAGTGCTGAAGGGTTAGATTTGAAACTCAAATATGTGCGTTTCAAAGGTGTCCCAAGCCAGGCAGAGCCAGGAAATGCAAGCAACATGCTATCTTGGTGCCTTGTATGAATAGAAAAGAGAGTAGAAGCAGCCAATGAGGCTGTGGTTGGGTGCAAACATGTGATCCACTGGGGGACCTTGGGCTTCAGATCTGGTTGTACTTATATCTCAGATCTGAGTTACAGTGATTAAGAAGGGAGAAAGGCATAAGGCCATGTATATTGTGTGTGGTCCTATCTTGAGCTGATTTGCTATATGGTGTACGTTGTAACGTATGTTGCTAAAACAACTGTGCACAATTTCAAGCCACTATCTGTCAGCATTCATGAATTCATTCTGAGTACTGTATTGTAAAACGATCGTTGGCTCTTCCTATCCACCATACCCATATTTTTAAAAAAATTAACTGCCCACACATGGACCACATACTGGTGTGTTTATCCTATTAGATAGAGGATTTGGCAGGATGTGGAGATGCAGATTCACACCATTACTTCCCTTTCTCCCAGTTCCCTTCACACTCCTCCTCCACTGCTGAGGAAGCTGCCTGAGACAGAACAAGAGAAAGTGCCAGGCCTTCATTTCTAGGCCTCACCTGTTGCCCAGATCTGCCAGAGGCAAGCATGGCCTCCTGGCCTTGGGGAGGATGTACGAAGGAATGCCTGACAGCCATCTACTTCTATGGGAGACAATAAAGGCATGAACTCAGGGATACCATTAAACTGGGGGCTGAATTTGTCCTGTTGATCCCAGTCCTGCCTCTCCAGTGTAAAATTGCAGCCTCTGCTTTACCTCCTAGAACTCAGTGAGTGAAGCCACCTGATAACTGCTTCCTATTTCAGGGATAGAAATCATGTGGCTTTCCTGATGTTATTGGAGCTCAACTCCCATCATCTAGCAATATTGCTCATGCTATGTAGGGCAAATGGGAATTGTAGTGGAACAACATCTGGAAGGTCATATGGTCCAACAGTACCTGGAAGGTCACATGTCCCCTACCCATATCCTATTTGCATAATATTAGTTATTTTGTCTGTTTCTTGATCATGCAAGAGTGCCATAGGATGAAGCTTTATATCACGCCCTTCCTTCAAGGGACTCACAGTGACAAACAGAGTCTCCACCCCCCCCTCATGTTAGCGGCACAACAATCCTATGAGGTAGATTAGGATGAGGAAACATATTGCCCAAAGTCAGTGAGCTGCCTATCTGAGTGGGAATTTAAACCCAAGCTGAGTATTCTCTACTATACCAATCTGGTTGACATCAGTGGGAATACATACTAAATCAGTGACATTTTGTTTGACCCTTTTCACATAGGAAAGGCCATAAGTCAGTGGCAGCACACATTCATTGTGTGCTGAAGATCCCTCATTCAATTCTGGCATATCCTGGTGGGGCTGAGAAGGATGCATGTCTCAACCTCTGGAGAGCCATGGCTACTCCAGATGGTGCTGAGCCAAATGATCCAGTATTTTGACTCGGTACCATTTCCCTCCTACACGTGGCATTGAAAACACCTATCTTCTTAGGCCCATTTGTTCCAAATATGAATGTTGCTGAGACCAGGGAGACAATGGTTATTTTAGAATCAAGTGTACTTCTTAGCCAATATAGTTTTTGCATTCTCACAACAGAATACTGAATTTTATTAAGTGCTTTAGTAAAAAGAAAAAGTGGGGAAAGCCCAGAGTTTTTCATTCCTATTTTAAATCAAAACAGGTGGGAACAGGAATATATTAATATCCTAATTCAAGGCTACTAAAACTAGTTCACACTTGCTTGATTGCGTGAAATGTGATTCACAGTCATGTGCCAACTGCCTTTTGAAAAGCATTGTGCTGTGAAAGTGTATGATTTGTCCTGATTGTCAAATCACTAATATCCTACCTTCCCTCACAGAACTCAAAGCGATCTGCATGGCTTTCCTTCCAACAATGCTGTGAATAGGCTAGGTTGAGAAGTAAGGAGCAATGTAAGGGCAACCAATGAAATTCGCTCCTTAATGAGGATGGGAACCCACATCTCTTGTGTTTTGGTTCAACCTTCTCCACTCTGTGTTCTCCAGATGTTTTGAACTCCAACTCCTAGCATTCCTGATCACTACCTATGCTGCCTGGCTCTACTGGGGATTGAAGCCAAACAGCTGGAGGACTCCAGGATATGGAAAGCTTTCCTAGTTCAACCCTTTGACTGCTATACCAGAGAGGCTTTCCAATATGCAAGTCTATTCTATGTTGATCTCTGGTGGCTCATACTCCACACACATAAGTAGTTACTTGATGCTGGAGTCATGAGCATGGTAAGGCCCATGATCAGAACAACAAGGCTCAGAGAGCCCATTTCCTAAAAAGTAAAGATTTGGCAGGCAAATGCTTCCAAAAGCCCCACCTCAGCCCATGCTTCTTGCTCCCATGCATCACAACCCAAGCAGTTATCAGGTCAGCCTGATTTAATTTCACACTATGTTAGGGCAGTCCCAAGGTGCAGTTTTCTTGTCACTCCCAACAGTGCTTTTGCATCAAAGAAAGCCCTGGAAACACTTACCTGTTTTTCTACAAGATAACTTAGTGTTTGTACATAGACTGGATCCTGGCTGGTGTACATCAGCCATGAGGACCAGTGTGGGCCATCTACCAGCTATGGGGACTGGAAGTGATCTCTTCAATGAAGGCATCTTTGGACATGAGGCACAATTGACAGCCAAACCTTTGGTTAAAACAAATAGATCACACATTGTGTGGAAAAAACTGCCTCAAAAGCAATGCATGAAAGAAAAACTGCTTCAAAACAATTAAAAATACACATGCATGGTATTTGGCATGAGGCCTTCAAAAACATACACAGTAGTGCATCAAAAGAAGAGCTTGCTGTCAAGGACTGTCCCCTGTCAAACAGCCAAATAGTCCCTAGTTGCAACCCCAAACCGTTGTTTGTATGTTCTACCAGGAATGCTGGTGCTAACACGGTAGGCCAAACCTTCTCCCTCTTACTCTTAACTCCAACCCCAAAGCAAAAACTCTACTTTAAATTCACAGTGAAATCTCTGCTTTTTCAGTTTCACGGTTACATTACATTATAAGCATTACAGGCTCACCAAATAACAAGACACCCCCCTCCCCAACAAAGCTCTGTACAAAGAGTTAAGGGGTACCACTTAGTGAAAGCAGGAAGACAGTTACCCTACCCTTATCTTCCATGGGTTTCTCAGCAAATACACATTGGAGAATAAAAAGTGTGGGGGCAAGATTTGAGTGCAAAAACATCTGGGAACAATATGCATTCCCTGCTCTACAGCTTCCCCAGTCTAAATTCCTCCCCCACAGCACACACAAACCCACTGTGGGGTCACAGATACACATATTTGCATTTAATGTGTGGTTAAGTACATAAGACCACATGATTATTCCTCAGGACATGGATGATCCCAAGGCATGCTTCCCCCAAATACTTCCTACTCCCTCAGATTTCAGTATGCTATGGACTTGTGGAATGCCCTTCCTAGAATGGCTTGACTAGTATGGTGTTTTCTACATTAGGCAAAGAAATTAAAAATTTCCCAGGCATTTGAACCTGTAGCTTAGAACTACTTTTAACCCTGTTAGTTCTGCATCTGTTGGTTTTCCGTATTTTACACCTTCTATTGTATGACTGTAATTTTATGAGTTTCAGTTTGTAATTATTAATTGCCCAGGGAATGTTTGCTTCCCAGATTTAGAGCACAATCCTATGCATAGCAAAACAGAAAGAGGTCCTACAACCCCCAGCATTCACAGTCAGCCCTGCCCTATGCTGGCTCAAGAATGCTGTGAGCTGAATGACTTGTTTGTGTCTAAACATGCATAGGACTGTGCCCTTATTTTTTCTGGGGCATCTGTAGCTTGCTGGTTTTGAGCATATTGAATATGCATGCTGAAGGTACAAACCTCTCTGTAGGGCAGTTCTCAGTGACATAAAAGTCCATCACTGGTATTTTTTAGGATTATGCAAGTGTCCTTTAACCCAGAACCCACGCTTGCCAGGTTTACATGACAGGATAACCCCTGAATGGGGTTGCATATGCAGTGTAATGCCCATAGAAACCATGGTCTGTTGTGGATTAAGTAGCTTATGGTAAGCTGTAACGTGTCATCTAAACTATGTCATCCATAGGTGTTTTCAAAAGGAGTTTTGCCTGATCTGCCTTATTAATTTAACCTTATAGGTGTTTTGAAGTATTAAGAAAGAGTAAACTAAAATAATGCTCTGAAAACGTGTTGACATATCTGCTCAAAGATAAACCCCATTGCGTTCAATGGGAGCTACTCCCAGATAAGTGTGTCTACCAGCATTGCAGCCCAATTTTATAAATACTCACC